TGGGTTCCTTTCCCAGCTCTGGTGCTGTATAGGCTGGGGAGACCAGCTTGGGGCTTAGGTCCCACACTTCTCAGGGGTAATCCTCTTGCCACTGAATTTCCCTCCAGCATTTCAGCTGCTGCCTGTGGGAGCCCAGCCAGCCCTCTCACATCTCCACTGTATGGTCATATTGTGGTGAAGCGATTTCTTTTATGTCTGTGGTTATTAGACTTTGTTCCAGCTATTGTTCCATTGGTTATTCTGGATGATTTATCTACAATTTAGTTGTAATTAAAAATTGGTCCTGGGAGGTTAGTGTAGCTTCCATTTACTCCTTTGCCATCTTGAATCTCCTACATATGTATATTCCCCCTCAAATGACACTCAAAAGGTGGTGGTGGTGGTGTGTATGTAGATAGATTAGATAGATAGATAGATAGATAGATAGATAGATAGATAGATAGATAGATAGATATCTCTCTAGATATAGATATAGACATATAGCAAAACTGGACTTAGGGTTACTTCCTCACTTAACTGCTTAGTGATTTCTAAACAAAGCATGTTCTTTAAACTGAATCAGATTGGTTTGCAGTATCACACTAAGGCAACAGGCTGCAGGTGCTCAGACCACAGCCTCTGGCTTCAGTGATGGCAGTTTTCTGGAACCTGCACTGGAGCTTGCCCCTGGCCTATCTCACCTTCAGGAGCTCTCCTCCAGATTGGTTTTAGGAACTCACATGGTTCCAGAGGCAGAACACTCCTGTGCTCTAACAGGTCAGCCTTGATGCCCAAGGTCAACTCTAGTGAGATGCAAACCAGCATCGTGTATCCATAACATATCAGGCACATTGAGGCTTGTTATTTCATGTCACCTTCACAATCACTTAAAAGCTAGAAACTATTACCCCAGGGTCACACACCTGACAGTATCTTGAGCCAGAACTTGAACTGAGGCCTGTGTGGCTTCAAAACCTAGTCTTCTTCCCACTGTAACCCATCACCTGTTTACCTAAGAAAACCTTGCAGTCATCCTGTTTAATTACTATTCTGCTTGTGGATAATGGCCAAAGAGCTTCTGGAAAAAAGGATGTTTATTCACTCAATGCTTTTTTTTAATTATTTTTTATTTTTAGAAATGGAATAGTCTTAATCCACTATTGAATATACTTCCTCCTGAACTGCCTAACATCTTCCTTTTTTCCCAAAAGAGAAATACTCAAGTCTTTAAAAAGGCTTTTAATATCTGTATTTCCCAGTGAGGTATCAGGCCACTTCATTGGGTGCTAACAGGTCAGTAGGTGTTAACCCTCAATTATTTTAAGAAAAGAGGCTTTGGTGTTCTGCAGGACTGAGCTGTCATGAGCGTTAGACTGGTGGTTCTCCACCAGGAATGCTTTTGCTCCCCGGAGGACACTGGCGATGTCTGGAGAACTGTTTGGCTGTCATAACTGGGAGCGGTGATGCGGCTCAACACCCTACGATGTACAGGTCAGCCCCGGCAACAAAGGACCGCCTGGCCCAAGATGTCAGTAGTTCCAAAGTTGAAATATCCTGCTTCAGATCCTTAAAATATACTCTTTTCTACTGGGAAACAACTACCAAGCCCTCTGAGCAGGAGAATCCTGCTTCAGCGCCGGGTGGTGCTCTGCTTGCCAGAGGCCCAACAGCAGGGGCAGCACTGGTGGCAAGTGCTCTGCTTTGCAGAGCTGGGCTCTGGCCTGGCAGAACTGAAACTGGCTCCCGGGTCACACAGACTTTATAAAAGTCTTTCTCATCAAAACAGGTTTTTCTGCGGTCCTGGCTGGTGTAGCTCAGTGGATTGAGGGCAGGCCTGTGAACCAAAGCATTGCCGGTTTGATTCCCAGTCAGGGTACATGGCTGGGTTGTGGGTCAGTTTCCTCAGTGTGGGTTGTGCTAGAGGCAACCACACATTGATGTTCCACTCCCTCTCTTTCTCCCTCCCTTTCCCATCTCTCTAAAAATAAATAATAAAATCCTTTAAAAAAAACCAATGAATTTTTCTGATTAAAAAATTACTCTATTGCTGCCTATAATCCCACTCCCCAGAGGTGATTGCTGAGTTTGGTTCGTGTTCCTCTGGGGTTTTTCCTGGCTGTACATTTTCACTCTGTCAATACAAAAAGGGTGATGGTACGCTCCAGTGCGCCACTTAATTTTTCTCACTCATAACCCATCTTGCCCCCGTCCACGCCTAGCAGTGTGGAGTCCCCTGTGCAGACGGGCACCGTGTTCAATCCAGGCCTTACTGACCGATATGTGGGTTGCTTCCAGTGTTTTGCCATCACAAAGAACATAACGCCGAATAACCTTTTACTTTTGCCCATGTACATTTATGAGGCCTCTAAGTTCTGAGAAGTGTAAATGCTAAGTTTTAAAGGGTATGTATATTAAAACACCTGTATAATTTTTAAAAAGGGGGGGGGGCTTGGCTATTCCCATACTCACCAGCCAAGTCCTTGTGAAAGCACTGCAGGAAAACACTCACCACTGAAGTGACTGCTTATAAAATCACTCCCTCCTCGCCCCCTAAGTACCCGAACCAGTGTCTATCCCACTGACTCTGGTTTCGTCTTATTAGTCCCCGACCACACTGCAAGTGTGTGGCAAATAACACAAAAGAGGGAGGGACTCGTCAAAAAGCTCATTTGTTTTTTTCTGTAAGGTGGCTCTAGTAGCACTTAGTTGTCTTTAACTACATTCAAAACAATTTTGCTACATTGTATTGTGACTGCTGTCATATCAGCTTGCGTTAAAAAAATCAAAATTGGAGAATTTTTGTGTAGCCGTTTTAATTTTGAAGGTAAACACAACTGAAATGCAAAAGATGTGTGCGGTGTATCGAGGTGCTGTGACTGATCAAACGTGCCGGACGTGGTCTGTGAAGTTTCGTGCTGGAGATGTCTCGCTGGACCGAGTAGACCAGTGGATCAAGTAGACCATGTCTCCATGATCAGGTAGACCAGCTGAACTTGATGGGGGTCCAACCAAGACATTAACTGAGAACGATCACCGTAATACCAGGTGGGAGATAGCGGACATGCTCCGAACATCCAAATCAACAAAGTTATTGGTGAAAATGAAAAATGTGTCTTTATATTTAAGAAAAAAACTAAATGGACTTTTTGGCCAACCCAACATGATGAAAATTAATTGCAATAATTGCAAATCTTGTGAAAGACAGTGGATTTGATGAACTTTATAAACAATACTAGAAAACTGCTCAAATGTCAAGCAAAGCCCTTGAAAATGTGGACTGCCAGGCTCAGTCAACAATAAAAGGTAAGATGATGAAGTTACCGCCAACTGATACAAAAAAGAAGGATGTTATATCAAAAGACTGGGGTCCTTAGGAAACAGGAAGCCCCTCAAATATTTTTGTAAAAATTACCCAATATTATGGTACAAAAATCAAATGGGAAGGATATTGTAGGGTACTAACCATGGTTTCACTTTAAAACCAAACACTTGATTCATTCTTTGTACATTGTAAGAATCTATTTGAAATTGAGTACACGTTTATAATTTTATTGTTTCCATGATAAAAGTCCCAATCGGACTTCCTCTCTGCCTCAGTTTCCACCACATAATACGAAACTCTGGTCCCTAAGTTATGTGGGTTCATTCTAGGTGAGTGTTTTCTGGTGCCAACTCTCCTGGAGCTGAACGGCTCTCCACTCCCAGAAGCCTAGGCAGGTGTGTGCTCATGTCTAGTGCGCGAAGGCAAAACATTTCCTGCCACGGTCCGATCCTTACAGGGACTGATGCACCACATGTGACAACCGGGTGCCTTCTAGCCCTTTAAGTCACTGAGAGCAGAATGAAGAGAGCCTGTGCTCGGCTTGCTTTCCACCACTGCCATCATTCCTGCTGCCGGCCAGGGACCAGGCGGCACAGGACAAAAACCCTCCATACCATCCACCCTACGTCACCTGTCTGCACTCCCAGGCCACTGAGAAAGGAAGCACATCAACACAGACCCTAAAAACAGCTGTGGCCTCTCGTGGCATATACATATATACACACACACACGTATACACAGTCACTGACTTGAAAGAGAGAAACATTGATTTGTTGTCCCACTAATCTATGCATCCGTTGGATGATTCTTGTATGTGCCTTGACCCGGGACTGACACTGCAACCTTGGCTATCAGGACGACGGTCTACCAACTGAGCCACCCAGCCGGGCTCTCCTGGCCCTTTAAACCCTGCGTTACAATCCAGCAGTTTCGAAGAACACTGTCAAGGGCCACAGACAAGAGTCATCAACTACATTTGCTTAAAAGTCTATAAACAATGTACACACCCAACCTTCTCTCTGGAAACTTAGAAAAATATACTTTCTGCAGATCATCTTGGAATGTCAAAGCTGAACAGAACCCAAACATCTACTTTAAAAAACTTCATTTTACAAACGAGGATTTGGAAATCTAGGCCAGGGGTTGGCAAATGTCTCCTGTGAAAAGGTAAACCGTTTGGACTTTGTGGCCCACGTGGTCTCAGTTGCAGGTACGCAGTTCCGTCACTGGAGCCCAGAGGCAGCCACAGACATGTCAGCAAGTGCGTGACTGTGTTCTTTATGTGTGGGCACTGATATTTGAATTTTACACTGTTATTTTTCACTTGCTGTAGAAATACTTATTTCAACCACCTAAAAATGTAACAACCATTTTTAGCGGCTGCACAAACAGGCGGCAGGCTGGATGTGGCCATGGGCGAGGGTCTGCTGACCCCCGTCCCAGGCCACTCTGATGCCCGGGGTAGTGGCCCAGGCCTGCTGCGCTCTGTCGCATTCACTTGCCCATTAGCTGCAAAGACTCAGGTCTGCTTCGCCATAAAGTGCACGACTGAGGAGCTCTGTAAGTGTTTTCTAAATTTTAGGAGTAATATTAAGATCTGTCAGAACCATGCCAGGCCACAGTTGAAAGTGATATAAAGTCATACTGAATATTAAAGTAAAATGACCAGAAGGAAAATATAATAAAATTGAGAAACTCATTACATTTGAAAAATAGCCTTTATTTCGACCAGTGGTATTGTATGACATCCTATATGGCATAACTGATTACAGCCAAGTTCATGAATACAGATAAAATAGCAGTTTCCCTCATTCTCTCTTTTGCTTTCTGTTCAGAGAAATCAGGAGACGGGAGCATGATTCCCAGGAACCGCGGAGCACTTCCTCAGGCGGCGGCTGAGTCCAGGCTCCGGGGAGCATTCAGCCTCCTAACACACGGATGGTCACAACTGCCAAGGAAAACATACGCAGAGCAGCTCTGCAGGAAACCACACTAGAACTTGCAACCCAGCGTGGCTCACGCAATTCATCTTGTGGCCGACTGTGAGGATTTGAACTGCGTATCACGGAGATGAGGCCCCTGCGCTCATCTTCCTCTAGAGGGGAGAACCCCGGGTGAGGCGAGATCACCACCAGCCTGCCTCCTTCCTTCTTGCTCCAGGTGACCCGGTCCTACCCTGTCCCTCTGGAGTGCATGGAGCGCTGCACTGTGCCAGAGAAACGGAAACACCGTGGCCGAAATACTGGACACTGTCGCATGGCCAACACTGGAAGTGGCTTTCCACTTTCTTATTTCACAAAAGATTTAAATATATGGGTCCTTATGTAGCACAAGATGCCTGAAATTCAGAAAATTATGGAAACAACTCTTCTCCACCCCTGAGGATATTTCATCTTTATAAAGTTGAAAATACAAAATATTAAAATAATTTGCCCTTTCTCCCCATCAAAAGGAATCACATTCTCGAAGGATTCCTGCAATATACAAAATTCATTTCTCCCTAAACCAAGACCAAGAAGTCATTGTTAAGCTGCCAAGAAGACCCTTTTCCAAAGAAGGGTGGGAAAGATACCTCATTACTTTAAAAAAAATATAGCCATCTTTAGATAAAAATAGCAAAAGGAGTTTCTGGCCTCACGAGCTTTTGAATTTTTCACTTTGATTTTCGACATTTCTTAGCATTGGTTATTGGGAGTGAAGAGAACAACTCGTCACCCAAAGTCTGAGACATTCCTGGGAAAAGCCCTGTCTTTCCCACGATGGCTCCCAAAAAGAGTTTGTTAAAAACCAGATGGCAAGAAAGAAAACGCTCTACATCCATCTGTTCTATTTCTTCATAATTTTCACATCCAAAGCACCTGGATTATCAATTGTGTTCAACACAAAGTAGCACTGGGGGCTGAGAGAAGACGATGTCACCCGCCCACAGCATCAGCCAAGGTGACGTGGCTTCTGAACCACCCGCGAAGTCTTCACTGGCAAACCTGCCTGGCATCAGGGCCTCCCGAAAAAAAAAAAAAAAAACAGGACAAGCAGCTGTGCATGCTCAAACAGCAAGACGTGCAAAACACATCGTCACTCTGCTAGCAAGGAGGAGCACACAGGAAGTTCACGGACAGCAAGAACCGGCTTCTGGCTGCTGGGGTCCAATACTCAAGAAACCTCTGCACCAAAGGTGGGGTAATACTGCAGAGAAATGGCAACGACACCTGGGGGGCGTGGGGGAGAGAGAGAAGCACTATACACATGCTCACACATGCACACACGGTGCCTCTGAAGGCTCCCTGCTTCACATGTGGCCATCCAACAGGCTGACTACGTGCACGGCTCAAAACTTTAACCGCTGCGCTACCTACACTCTCTTCTCTTCTTTTAAGGCACAAACATATTAGGTTTCAGATACACCTGCTGAGTTCTGAGACTCATACAAAGCAAATTCATCTTAGACTGGTGCACAGAAGCCGGTTGGTCCTTTTTCGCTGCAGGCATCGTTGAGGAACGACTTCAGGTCTGAAACAGCGAGCGGTGTGAGCCTTCTCTGTGCTATTGTGGTCAAGGTGACCCGCCACCACCAAGGTGGGGCTATAGGAGAGGCCAACACAGTAACAGCATGACTGGGGACGTTCACTGTTTTTCACTTTGCATTTAACAAACCCTAACACGACAGCAGCTCTTGCGGCCAGAGCTGACTCTCACGAAGAAGCACAAGCAGAGGCTGTCACGGAACACCTGTAACCCACGTAAAGTCACTGTGATCATATTTGCTCATATTATCTTTCCCTCCCACAAAGACAGACAGACACACACACACTAACACACATGCGTGCACACGCGGCCCACACACACCCCTCTTCCACCATGGGGGAGATCTTTGCAACAGGAGGCACTTGAATGAGATTTGGAGAGTTTCCGTGAAAAGGCCTTCCCCTCACAGTGAAGTGGGATCAGCAGAACAGAAGCCAGGTGGTCAGGACTCCATCTCTTCTTGGTCAAGGGGTGGAGGCACAAAGCTGATGACTTCATCGTAGGTCAGGCCTAGAAATTGGGAAGGAAAAGCAGGGTGTGAGGGTTGAGACTATCCTCTTCACCGACAAGCACTGTAGCTTCTAAGCTCAAGATCCCCCCTCCCGACGCACGCTGCTGCTTTGATGGGCCACTTCAAGTACCTGTTGTGTGTGATATCCTAATGGATCACTGTACAGAAGGTCAAGGATACCTATGAAAAACCATTTCTTTCTTGTTTCTTTCATCACTCAGAGCCTCCTCTTTAAAGCTCAGGAGTAACAGGCTACAGCAACAGATAATCCTGGTTTTGGGGATTTACCTGGAAATCTGAATTTGTGTTTTATGGAAAGAAACTGAAAATAGGAGACATAGGTGCCATTTCTGGCTGTGTCCCTAACTAGGTCTAAAATAACAGGTAAGATATAAACTCTTGGCCCCAACTGTATCAACTGTAAAACTGCCCTTTCTCCTACTCATCTCAGAGTTGCAAAGAAGGTTCTGAGAACCTCAAAGAATTAGGCAGATGTGAGGGGCTGTGCGCAAAATCAGATGAGAAAGGAGCGTCGTCACTAGCCACAAGTTTCCATCTGAGCAGCAGCACAGTCACTCGGTGTGAGACCCTGACTACAAGTTTTAACAAGTTGGCTATAGCTAGAAATTTTATGTTTCCCACAGTGTTTGGTTAGCGACTCACCTAGGAAAGATGTTCAAACCTGACTAATTTCTCAAGCTAGACGGTAATGCTGCCTTTATGACTTACTTTTCCATTCATCTATAAGGAGGTCCCTGCTCTCAAAGGACTGATCATACGGATCGGCCACAGGCTCATCGTCAGGGTCATGGTACTGAGCGAAGTAGGCGTGCGCGAGGGCTTGGGCCGCCGTGATCCTCTTGTCCGAGTCCAGCACCAGCATCTTCTCCAGCAAGTCAACAGCTATCAGCACCACGGAGTGGAAGGAAAGAAGAAGAGTTTTTATTCTTAACATGTTACCAGAAAATACACTATATTAAGCAGACACAGCTTTGACCCTTCAAACCTAAACAAAGAAACAAAGAATTCTCCTCCAAAGCGTCAGCTCTAGAACATACTATGCCCTCTCCCCTATGTGTGTGTGTGTGTTTGGATGTATTTTGTATTATTTTTAAAGAATACTTTACTGAAGAATTTTTTAAATAACTGGGACTCTGTCTGAACAACCATCTGTGGAACATCCACACCAAATTTTCACCTCTGCAGTCAGACTGTGAACAGCAGTGGTCTAGAAGGGGTAAGGAGGGCTGGTTTTTAATTTTTCAATGTCTTTGTTGACTTTCATGTTTACTTACTAACATAAGGCAAATGCATATTCATCAAGTGGGTCTTCCAACAGATAAACTGAAGTTTTCACATGGGTGTGTGAGTGACAAACCTGGTATTCGCATGAAATTTTCGCCATGGAAGAGGTCAATATAAAAAACAATACAGTGGATACTCATATACTGACCGCCCATATCCAACAATTAACACTCAGTGTTTCTCTATTTTTGTTAAACCATTTTAAAATTACAGACGTGATACATTACCCCTAAATATTTCAGCACAAAGACACTTTCCTGTACATTATAAAACTGTTTCACATCTGACAATAATTCCCAAATACCACCTAAAATCCAGTTCAAGTTAAACATTTTCTACTTATCACAAAGTTATCATTTATACACCTTCTTTGTTCAAACCAAGGTCCAAGGAAGGGTAATACACTGCATCTGATTGGGTTACTTCAGTTTCTCTGAATCTGGAATAACCGCCCCCCACCCCTCCTATTCTGACCTCAAAAGACATTCAGTCTGGGTGCCTTTAGACTATCCATCGTGCATCTGTACCCTTGTTTTCCTCTCCCCTTGTATTTCCTGAAAACCGCCTTAGATCCAAAAATTTGTTAACTGGCTCAAACATTTTTGGCACGAATATGTCACAGGACTCTGTGCACCTGCCGGAGCATTTGTCCCATTGTGAATGACACTACATTTGATCACAGAGTTGTTTCTCTGTTGCCCTTAGCAAAGAAACCACATAAATATCCTTTCACTTAAAAGAAATCTACTGATTTACCTTCACACCAATTATTTCATTAGGGGTCACAAAATCTTGATTTTTTTTACTTCTTTCAAATGAGGGTGTTTTGAGTTTTAGATCGGTGCAGCATGAACAATGCCATGACCACGGGAATCACTTAATGAAACTAGGCTTTTTTTTAAATTAAGATTTAATCAATTAGTTAATTAACTAATTTAGAGAGACCGGAAGGAGGGGGAGAGGGAGAGAAACATCAATGTGTGGTTACCTTTCACGTGCCCCTGACTGGGGACCTGGCCTGTAACCCAGGCAGGTGCCCTGACTGGGAATCGAACCGGCAACCCTTTGGTTTGCAGGCCAGCACTCAATCCACTAAGCCACACCAGCCAGGGCTGAAACAAGGTTTTTGAGGCTTTGCAAATCACTGATGCTTTCTTAACTGTGAAGGGGGCGGGCAGGGGACTGAGGAAGAGGACATGTTCCCTTACAGACCTACTACAGGGCACACAGGAGAGTCTACAAGACCCCTCGCTGCAGCCTGAACTCCAGAGTGACCCAAAGAAACGTGGTTCTCAAAGGGACACAGAAACAAGGTGCAGTGTCACATGTCGATTCAAATCTGCAAGTTTACACTTTACAGCCCCGGGAGAAATGCCCAGATATGTATATATTCTTCTCTTCTTAGAAAAACATATGCTTTATCAGCTTAGTTTGAATCATATGGTCTTTGCCACTCCTAGAGTAAAATGTGCCATGTCCTTATAACCAATACCTTGATAAGGAATACGGTCAGGGGTAAGAAAAAGATTCCTCTAAGATCTCGACAGATACAAATACCCACACTTCATGAATGGGCAATTGGCATTTCAATTCCTGTTTCGAAAGTAATGTGGAACACAGTCACTGACCAACAGATGCTAATATTCACACTGGTGCTAATATTTACACTGGTGGGGGCCTCCCCAGTAAACACACTGGGCACGAGCCCACGGTCTGAAGTCTGCAGGTGTGCACGGCTCCGCCGGCAGGGTGCGGGCTGTCTGGACCCCGAGGGCTGCGGTGCTGAGTCAGACGGTCCAAACCTTCACTCAACTCCCCTGCAGTCTGTGTTGCTGAGTGGGATCCAGTTCTTTTGAATATTTTAGTGTCATAATTCCAGAGAAGGGGACACCTATCAGGATGGATGTGACTTAAATAAGCTCCTGGGATGCACACATCTCCAGCCCCAAGGAAAACGGATTAGCAAATCCAGTGAGTAACAGGAAGTCCGGCAGGGAGCATCACCGTGTCTAAGTCATGAGCTGATGCGATGAAAAGAATTCAGACCAGAGTGACAGATATAAAAACTACCAGCACACATCATCACCTCCCAAATTCTTGGAGTACTTATGACTCAGAGAGCTACACACAGATCCTTGGGTTAGATAATACCATGTCAATAAATCACACAAAGCCAGTGAGAACACAGCAGGGCAGATGCAAACCTAAACCAACCTGGAAGAATTGTGTGCCCATTGATGAGCTTGTGCATTTGTTCTTGGAAGTGAGATGTGGTGACAAACCCTCCATCTCCAGGGCTGACAGGAACCCATCTGTAGCTGCCCAACACTTCACAGAGCGTGAGCATCTGTGCTATTATAAGAATGAGCACAGCGACACTGATACCCCTGTCAACAATCACAATGGATGAAGTACTTAGAGGTAACACCACTTAGCCTTCACGCCAACTTCTGAAGAGGTCCTCGCGGCTGTCAGCCCCGAAAGGATAAACTGAGCCCGAGGCACAGCTGCTGGGACCCTTGGGCAGACGGACGGCCCACTCACACAACTGCAGGGGGGTGAGGAGGCCCAGCACGCTGCCATCGTAGCCTCTCACTGCACCCTTCCTGGCAGAGGGAGGTCTTGGCCTTGATTTTTCTGTGTCTGCCACTAACCTCTGTGCCCCCCCAGAGTCAGGGCGTTAGAGCCTCAGACAGTGCCACTTTCGGGGGACAGCAGAAGCAACATTAGCCCCCAGCTTGAAGGAAGAGAGCAGCTCCTTCTCCGGCCAGGGTGGTCCACATCCTGCAGCTGCTGTGCCACGTCCCTTCGCCAAGAATCCTGGAGGTCACGGTGGCAGGAGTATGCCTGAGGTCGCAAACTGGCTGCACCCGTTGGACCGGTTCAGTCTCAGAGGGGCAGGAGGAGGACAGAGGAAGGGAAAGCGTGCACACTGCACACAGGATGGCAGGTCCTGCGGCCCCCGGAAGTGACAGGCGGAGCAGGGACCACCACAGAAGCTCCGGGTGGTCCACCAACACCGGTGGTGCTTCCCCTGCTCTTACCCTCAGCCTGGGTAAGGAATGACAGCGGTTGTGAGCAAGTCGCAGGCTTCAGCCCCCTAACTTACATCACAGCCAATTTAATATCCATGACATGAAGACAGTCAGTCAACTTACCCAAGGGATTGGCACCAATAAAAACATTTGCAAAGTTCATCTTCGGCATCTGGGTCAAAGACTGAATGTAGTTTCTTGCCTGTGAAAACAAAGGGTTTTCAAAGTGGCTTTTTGTTCAGTAATGTTACCGCCCTCAAAGCATCCCGGTCCTGTCAAGGAACAAGTATGAACTGACAAAGTCTGCTGGCTTCAGTGTTTACGACAGTCTTTGATACTCATTAAAGACTTCTCTCTCAGCTCTGGCTGGTGTAGTTCAGTGGATTGAGCGCGGGCCTGTGAACCAGAGTATCGCAGTTCGATTCCCGGTCAGAGCACATGCCTGGGTTGCGGGCCAGTTCCCAGCAGGGGACGCACAAGAGGCAACCATACATTGATACTTCTCTTCTTCCCTTCCCCTCTAAAGATAAATAAATAAAATATTTTTAAAAAAGACTTCTCTCTCACTGCTACCCTAAGTTCCTTATTTATGGTCATTATCTTTATTTATATTCCTGCTACAGCTCAGTTATATTTCAAGTGGATGCAAGTGCTAACCAGTTAAGCTCCCTCCCATTAGCTTTCTGATTTCAGGATCAGAAGTTTAAAAAATGAGGCCAAGGTATCTAAGAAGTAGCCCTCTCTGAGACAGGACTTCCTAAAAGCTAAAATTGGCGCAGGAACTGGTATTCCTAAAGAAAGTCTAGGACTGGCAGTCTTTCAATGGTGCTGGTCTCAGTAGGTGCTCTCAGAACCTCTAAAGGATTGACAGTAACCTTGCCAACAAAGTAATCTGGGTAAGAAGAAAGTAAACATAAGCTTAGTATATTATCCTAAGAGGCTCAAACACGTATTAAAAATGCTAAACCCATAAGTGAATTTTAAGTGACATGGCCCAGGCAGAAATTCTTCTCCACCACTTAAAAACTATACCTCAGGCAAGTCCCAAGTAACTTATCAATGACCTCATCCACAAAATATTAGTATTAGTAGTTGGCTTGCCTATATCTTACAGTTGTTGTGCTACTCATGCAAAATGAAAGTCATAAAAGAGCTTCAAACTAAAATTCCGACACAAACAACATTTATATTCTGTATTACAAATAGAGCTGTTCTAGGTTTGGTCCCTGGGGTGGGACAGGTGTGAATCTGAATCTTGACTTTAATACTTTGGGCAAGTTACTTATTAGCTTTCAGCCTCGAGTTCCTCATCTGTAGAAGGGAGGAGGGAGAGCGCCCACGTGGCGGCGTTGAGTGCGGATTCGGGGTAACAGACCAGCCTGCCCCCGGAGCTCACGGAACCTTAGCTGCCACCACTGACTGCGGCCATTAGAAGGCAATCTGCTCTCCATTCCTCAGGATGTTCCAACTTCCCAATTTCTGAGCACCTTTCAAAAACTGACGGCTCTAATCAAGGCAAAAACAAAACCGGGTCTTGAGAATGATCACATAAACACAAATGCAACTCATAAGTGTGTTTCTCAGATATTAGGTATTAAACTATATAGATGACCTCCCTTGTTTCAATTAAGAAGCCCCACTGTCAGTCCATCTGAGTCGTTGAGATAAAACTTCTGTGAATCTACCTTAACCACCCCCTTCTGATTCCTCAGCAGGAAAGGCACTCATGTACGTGTACACACACCCACACGCCCACATACGAGGTGAGAAAAAGTTCTGGTTGCTAGGGCAACCTCACCCTCTTCTGAGACCCACTTTCAAAAGCAGCTGAGAATCTTACCGTTGAAAACAAAGTTCTAGGAATTGAATGTCTACGTGGCCATACTCTCTGCCCGCCTGAGCAGAAAGATAAAAGGTGGAAGGGAAAACAGGGGTGAGAGAGACCTGGCATGCAGAGAACAGCCATCCCTCTCACAAGGCAAAGAGAGACAGGTAGGAAGACCGAGCAGGGCTGTGGGGGTGCAGACCCGCAGGGCAGGGCCGCGGCGACGGCAGCCTGGGACCCAGACTGCAGGCCCCTCAGAGGAGAGTGCCCGGTCATCTCTGATGATAAAACCAGAGTTAGATTACAGGGTTAAGAACTGGTTTTAAAAAAGAATGGTAAAAAACCCTACACAGGTATTCACAGTTATTCTATATTATTTATGTATTTTACAAAATATAACACGGATTTGTGGTTGGATAGTTGAGGCTTTTGAATAATCCTCTTTTGTTCATTAAAAAAAAGTGATGAACATAAAGCGTGCTAATGCCTTCCGGCAGCAGCACCCCCGGCTGGAAGCCATCAGATGGGAGCGCAGCGCAACCCAACCGCAGGCACGGAACCTGGGGGAACACAGACAGCCTCTTGAGCACTAAATTCGTAAAACCCAAACATAAAAGTAACACCATTTCTATGGACCAGTCTGTAACCTGTATTCTCAGGCTACAGGATCAGACAACATTTAATCCCAAATATCAACATCTTGCAACAGCGACAGGCAGCCGTCCAGGCGCATGCAGGCACTCAGGGACACTGAACACCGGGCGGCTGGTTACACGGTGGCAATAAAGAGTGAACGTGGCCTTCCGAGGTCCGTGTCCCTGTGCAGCCTACTTGTTCTCACCTCATGGCTTGGCATCCTGTTAATGAGATAAGCAGGGGGTGTCCCCGTCAGACGCATAATCTGCTGAAGCTGGTTAATATCTTAGATGCCTAGTCAAGGGCATTGTTAAACATACAGTGCAAAAAATAACTTTTAACTCAAGTTTTAAAAGGCCAAAAGCCACCCAAACAAATAAAAAACCTACTCCCCACCCATCCTGCCCACTTTAGGCAGAGCCCAAGCCTGCAGAATAAAGCATGCTTCTGTGAGTGCCAGAAGAATTATTAGGCATGTAGCCAGTGCCTAGCCGTGCGGGTAAGTTTTCTGTGGCTTTAGCATCATCTTTAACATTAAATGTTTCAGGCTTCTTGGAAAGAGACTGCCCCTCGATCCAGGATGCCAGCCAGAGAATGGTTTTCAAGTACTGATGGCCAGAACCTGCTTGCTTGTAGGTGAATGGAGTTCAGAAAATACTGACTCAACTCAGGAAAAGAGAATATATACAATATATCCATTTGAAGAAGACATTAAATTTCTGTGGCACAGGTTCTGGTGATTTTCCAAGGCACCACCACCCCTCCAGATATGGGTGGGTGTATGGGCTGATAAGCAATGTCAAGTTTCAAAGACATTAGTAGCAGTACATCTCAAATACGTGCCACAAACACACAAGTGAGTGAAGAAAAGGAACACGGGGGGCAAGTCAGAAGCTAACGGCAAAGAGAAGATGGGAGTCACAAGCTGCATGCCACGGTGGCTTCTCCCAGTGTCTCTAACAGGTGACCACGCTGACTTCATCTCTCAAACGGCTGGGACAAAGTCTGCAAAACACGGCAATTTCTCAACAAATGCAGAACCACGATGTCTTCCATACAGATGAGCACATATCTAAGCTGTACCCCAAACTTCTTTTAGCTGTGCCATTGGTTTTAACACAATTCCCCTTCCTTCAAAATATCATGAGAACTGTTAGTTTATCATGTGTTTCTATTAAAGCAGAAGTGATGGGATTTCAAAATTCCTCAACACAATTCAATAAAAACCCTGTTATATTCCCTTTCCTGTTAGCTCCTGACGCCCTCCACTGGTTGCAGCACTGTCTTCAACAAGCACCCTGGTCAAGTGATGTCATTGCTCTGTGGCTTCCCTCAGTAAGTTTTCCACATTCGCTCGCTGCCTGAGCTCAGACTCCCTGCGGTCGGATTCCTCGGATTCCTGCGAGCACACGTGTAAGGCCGGCTACCGGGGCAGAGCTGGCTGGCCCCGCCTCGCGCGCTCCCTATGCGCAAGGCCAGCATATTGAAAAGGTGACATGAAGTTCTTTTCACATTTTCACAACAAAGTTCAGGTTTACCTATAAACAAATGACATAACAAACAGTACTTTGCATGCCAAGAGAAATAACAAAGGGCGCCAGTAAAGTAAACCAGCGATAGTAGACCAGCGGTTGGGTTCTACAAAGTCAGAATCCTGCCATCTCTCTCTCCTTTCCTGTGGGCCAGAAGTAAGTTTACAGTTGTTCATCTGAAAAATAGTAGTTATGAATAAATGATGATAAAAAATAGTGATTCACCTACTCGTAACTATAACCCTCTATTCGCCCCACCTTGCACTTGGCCTGTCCATTTTCTGTGTTTGTCTCCTTCAGTCAGATAGGTTATTATAACGCTTTCTTGTTGGGAGTTACAAAAAATAAACTTCTAGAGAAAGATGTGAGAGTGATTCGGTAAAAGGGCTTTTCCCCCTCCTTAATATGATTTTTTTTTGTTCTTTCACTAATTACTGTTGGTACAGGGTCACCAACCAAAAAAATTCTATTCCCATAGCTACCCATCACAGCCCCTTCCCCCCTTCCTCACGGCGCGTCTTAACTCGTTCTCCCTCAGCCCCTATCACTGTAATCTCTTCATCAGAATGTCCTGCCTTTTGCTCACTGAATTTCTACACCATTTCACTACTTTTCAGGAGTAACAAAATAGCTATTGTTGTTCTGTTTACTACATTCCTTCCATAATAATTTTTTCTTTCAATTTTTAAAATATTTAAATAATTTTACTCACCTGGCTGTGTTATTTACATATCATGTGTTCCGCGTATCACGTGCTTTTAAAATAAACTGCTACTTGGGCAGCATTTACTAACAACAACATAATCTTGCCTACCTTCTTGAATGTTTAAATTGCTTATATCCACTTGCCATAACTATGTAGGAAAAAACCAAACAAACCTTTCTTATTCCTATACTCAGTACAATATTATCTGCTCGAGTTCTAAATTCTGATACTCAATTTTATTAGCCCCAGCTTTACATCAAAGCTTTGTAATATATAATGTGCCCTATTTCACAAAAAATAAAGACATCTCAATATTAGGTCAGACACTTGGTATTGTTTCTTTCTGAAAAATAAATGGTGCATTAATGACAGGTAAATACTATTTTACCCATATCTTTTCTTTTAGGAATTCTTGCAACCAGTGGCACATGTGTCTCAGGCCGATGGCTGGGAGTGGGAGAGGGGACTGAGGAGATGCTAGTAGCCATCCCCAGAGAGGGAATGAATCTGCTATCTTAGTCTCGTTAGCACTATGCATTAATAGACCCACTTCTTCTCAGCCCTCCTCCCCTACCCTCATGTCCTATTAGCCAATCTTTCCAAGCAAAGGCATTTAAAGCAAAATGCACTATCTTCTCTAAGCATCTTCTCATAGCTTCTTTTGATCACCCCAATGCAGCTTCTACCGCATTTCATAAAGCAAAAGCCAACCCCCCTCCTTCAGGCTGCCATTGTGGCCTGACAATGACTTTCAAAACAGTGTGCAATCACATGAGATTAAGGTTTAGCTAAGCTATCAGGACATCTGGAATCAACACTCAGCTCTGCCAAGTGACTCAGTGCATGACTCAGGCAAGCCACAGCCTTTCTGTGCCTTTGCTTCCTCACCCTGAATAAGTAAATAAAACAAAATAAAATAGGGCCAGTACATTCCCTTACATTCTCAGAGTGGAAATTCATAAATTCCCTGGGCTTTGTGGTCCTTTTAAGGAATGCACCAGACACATACCAGATGCAATTCTTCTTCTTCTTTTTTTTTTTTTTTTACAGGGAGATGAGGAACCATTCAAACTCACCTGCTCAAGCCTGCCTCAAGCTACCCAGCAGTCTTCCCAACTGGGTAAAGGGACCCCATCAGTCAGAAATGCTGGGAGGAGAATCCAGGAAGGCACTACTGACGCTGGGCTCCACAGCTCTTTCTCCCTTTCACCCAACTGCCTGGCAGCAGACAGAGGAAAAAAGGGAGAGAGGCTGGGCTTTCATGATTTCTCTCACATCTCCTGCCCAAGAAGATGACCAACAGCAGGAAATCATAGCCAAAGGAAGCCTGAGTCCCATTCCCACGGCTTCTCTGTAAATGCCTGCATAGAGGCAGGAAAGCATTAGCCCAAGCTTTTTCTTGGGTTATTAAAACTTGTAAATGTTGGCAGACTGCAGGATTTAGAACCCTCCTCCTGCGGCTCTCAGGAGTGGAATGTAACCTCTGCTGGTCTGGAGATGGGGCAGAGAGGAGCCCTGTTTGAACAGACACTTCGCACGAGCTGTGCAGGTGGTCTATTCTAAAACAACAGAAAGCAAGGCACTTTGGCAAAGGGCAACAGTGTGCAGACAATGCACATTTCATTCTTTCAGTGATGAACTAGACTACTGCATGGTGAACCTCATGCTCTGAGACCAAACACTGACCAAACAGTGAAAAGAGCCCTTGAGTACATGTGAAACTTTTGAAAAAGATGAAGTCAGGGCTGGAGAACAGAAAACTAAATGTTCCATTAACCTCTTGGAATGAATGAGAATCTCAAATCTCATTTACTACTAGGATACTATAGCCCAATACAGGCCCCCATGATCTAAGTACATACCCAGGCAGGGAGGAGACGAACTCACGCAGGTGACCCAGCGAGTGTGTGTGCACGTGTGCAAGTGCACACGTGCACACACACTCATCCTGAAAGTCAGCCCACCAAGGGCACATGTGCTTAAAAACACACCTGGGTCACAGTGCAGACGGATGGAAGGCAAGTGGCAGAGGCTCCCAACAGGGCAGAAAATTACAATCAAAGCATCAACTCACAGACTCTGAGGAGATTTTCTTCAAAAGATCAGCCCCTGGGGTTCCAACGAGTCTTAAAATGAGCTTCAACTGATCAATATCTAATGGTGGACTATAAAGGAAAATGTTGGGACAAAATAAAAATGGAAAACAACAAATAAAACAAAACAAAAACAAACAAACAAAATACCCCAGTAACAAAAATTAAAAACCCAAACTGAACCAAAATGGTGACTTCCTCTAGGCAAGGCTTCTGCAGGATGGTCACGCCAGGCAGAACATGCTCCTCCTGTACAAAGGTTCAAAATGCTGCTACACACAGACCGATCTCACATTCATTTCGTGCACCTGTCAACATCCCCTATTAGTAAAGTGAAGCAACTTTATAGCTGGATACTCAGCTGACAAAGACAGCAGGGAAAACGCAAGAGCTTACTCACTCCACAGGCTCAGGCCACGCCTACCTCCTCACCTTCCACCAAAGCATTAGCAGCCAGATAAGCCAAGAGGAGTAGTGAGCAGAGAGTACAGATAAGAAATAAGCAGTAGAGCACAGGAGCCAGGGACATACAAACCTACCTATAAATATTCTGGTGAGGAAGCCTGACCTACAGAGCTTGGAATATGGTAGGGGCCTGTGTGGGTCCCTGAGCCTAACCACTGAGCTTCCTCTAGAACACCTCTCCTCCGGACTGGCCACAGTAGGCAGAGAACTGTGAGTGACAAGCCAGCAGAGGGCCCCGCACCCCACTGCACCTGATCTTCAGGAATGCCTGACATATAAATGCATTAATAAACCTCACACAGCCCAATGGCTCTAAACAACAGACCACAATGCCCAAACCTCCACTCTGGTACCCAGTCTTCCAACTACACCCAGAAAATATGTGCAGGTATTAACGAGAAGACAAAAACTTCCATCTGTCCTTACTGCTTATAGTCTTGCCTAAAAAGAAAGTTTTAAAAAAGGAGGGAAAACCTTATAAAATAGCTT